GATTGTTGTTGTTGTTAGGTGCCATTGAATCGGTGCCAACTCATAGCAACCTTATGCACAGCAGAACAAAACACTTGCCCGATCATGGGCCAACCTCACTATTGTTGCCATGCTTGAGCCCTTTGATGCTGCCACTTGGCCAATCCATGTCACGGGGGTCTTCTTCTCCACCTTACCAAATATGAGCTCCTTCTCCAGCGACTGGTCCCTCCTGACAATATATCTGAAGTATGAGAGATGAAGTTTGGCCATCTTGGCCTCCAAGGAGCACTCTGGCTGCACTTCTTCCAACACAGATCTGTTGGTTCTATGGGCAGCCCATGGCACTTTCAATATTCTCCTCCAACACCATAACTCAAAAGCATCAATTCTTCTTCTATGGTCTTCCTTATTTACTGTCCAACTTTCACATGCATTTGAGGTTATTGATAATACCATGGCTTGGGTTAGGTGCACCTTAGTCCTCAAGCTGACATCTTTGCTCTTCAACATTTTAAAAAGGCCTTGTGCAGCAAGATTTTCCTACTGCAATACATCGTTTGATTTCCTGACTGCTGCTTCCATAAGTGTTGATAGTTGATCCAAGAAGAATGAAGTCCTTGACAGCGTCAATCTTTTCTCCATTGATAAGAATGTTGTTTATTGGTCCAGTGGTAAGGATTTTTTTCTTTATATTGAGATGCAATCCATACTGAAGGCTGTGGTCTTTGATATTCATCAGTAAATATTTAAAATCCTCTTCACTTTCAGCAAGCAAGGTGCTATCAATCTGCATATTGCAGGTTGTTAATGAGTCTTCCTCTAATCCTGATGCCACGTTTTTCTTCATATAACCCAGGTTCTTGGATTATTTGCTCAGCATACAGGTTGAATAAGTATGGTGAAAGAATACAACCCTGTTGTACACCTTTCTTAATTTTAAACTATTCAGTGTTCCCATGTTCTGTTCGAACAACTGCCTCTTGGTTCATGTACACATTCCTCATGAGCATAATTAAGTGTTCCAGAATACTCATACTTCACAATATTGTCCGTAGTTTGTCATGATCTACACAATCAAAAGCCTTTGCATAGTCAATAAAGCACAGGTAAACATCTTTCTGAAATTCTTTGCTTTCAGCCAAGATCCATCAGACATCAGGTAGGTGGAATGAAATATGAATGTTGTTTTATTCCAAATGAGATGGAAAGCTATTATGAAAATATGTCTTAACAGGCTCTGTTTGGCTGCTGTTTGGACAGTGTAAAGGACTAGGATGAATAAAGGAGACCAATAAATGGTGGTGTGCATGGTGAGAAGAGATCAGACTATGAGCAGATTTGAAAGATTTAATTGCTGAGAGTTTGGGTGTTAAGTGCTGTTGAATCGGTTCCAACTCATAGTGACCCTGCATAGGGTTTCCAAGAAGTAGCTGGTGTGTTTGAACTGCTAACCTGTGGTTTGCAGTACAGTGCTGCACCAGGACCTATTTGTGTAGGATGTAAAAAAAAAAAGTTTTGGGATAAGAATTTGGAAGAATGGAATTGTCCTTCATTGGTACAGGGCAGAACAGTGGAGGAACAGATTTATAGGAATAACCAATAGTTTTTTGCTTGATGTTTATTATATCTGAGATGCCTGTGCGTAATGTAAGTAGAGATGTTGGGGGACAGGTAGATATGCCTAAGTCTCTAGGGTTAAGAGAGGGGGTCAGGCTGGAGATGCAAAGTCGGGTGTCAGTGTAATGGCTGATATTCAAAGCCCTGGCAGTGGATGAGGTCACCCAGGGAGTGAGTATAGAGGAAGATTTGAGATTGAGCCCTGGGACATTCTCCTGTTCAGAGGCCATAGAAATGAGTAAGCACCAACCAGTGAAATTGAAAAGGTGTGGTCAGTGAGGTGGAGAGAAACTAGTGTCTCAGAAGCCAAGTGAATATTTCAAGGAGGGGGTGATAAACTGTATATGTGAACTAAAGCTGCTCCACACTGAAGCCTGGTGCGTGGGCTGAGGGCTCTGCAGAGTCTCTCATGGACTCTTGTCTCCCAAGCAGTGAGTTCTGAATATAAGTAAGTACCCATGGGCTCTAATAATGTTTTTGTTGTTCTTAGCATTTTTTTTGGGGGTGGCGTGCATCCACTGTAACTCATCCTTCCTGATACTGTTCAAAATACCAGGGTGGGAAAAAATTCCTGTTTTTCTTGGTTTTGTGTATCTCTTTCCTGTTTTTATATACTCCGGGCTCACTGGGTAATTGCTTGAACACTCAGGGCTTTCTTCAAAGTCCCAGCCTTTTTCTCATTGTTGTTGTGTTGATTCCAACTCATAGTGATGACCCTGTATAGGGCTTCTGAGGAGCAGCTTGTGTTTGACCTGTTAATCTTGTGGGTAGCAGTCAGTGCCACACTGGGACTCCATTAGAAGTACAGAAAACGTAGCCTGAAGGACTTCTGCACCGCCACTACTGTTACTTTGAACAGAGTTAGTGTCGAGTTTGGAGTAAGACTTGGGTTTGAGACCCAACTCTTTCAATTCCCAGCTATTTGACCTCTCTGAACCTGTTTCCTTATCTGTAAGAAGAGTAAATACCTTTAACCTTTGCTTAGTGAAGCTTTACAAATGTCATTTCTCCATGTTAGGGTCTTAGGTCATGGAAGTATCTCTAGCTTTCCTCTTTTAGAGTTTGTTCTCCTAGAGTTCTTTCTGGTGGGAGATGTGATTAAGAGCAGGATTGTACTATCACTTTCCCTGATGGTTTCTGTCACTTCCACAGTGTTAAGCTAGTCCTCTTTGCTGGTCAGAATTAAGGTCTGAGTATTAGTTCCTCTTGTAGCTTCTTCTGCTTTCTAAGAGACAACATTGTTTAACAACACAAGGCATGCATGCATCAACTGCTCTTTTTATAACAGAATGAGACTTCCGGCAAATGTTTTTGTTTGCTACCCAGTAGGGAGCAGCTCAGTTTGCAGCCTCTCTAGTTTCTTTCCTAATTTCTGCAGACCTTCTGAGGGACAGAGACATACTCCTCTGCTCATAGCATGGCAGAAATAGGATCTGCAGTAGCCAGCTGTTTTCCTCAAAGGGAAGCACACATGAAAGTGTCTAAAGGCAGTGCCTGTGGGGTGCTGGACAGGGACCCCATATCTGAGGCCCAGGACCCTATTGTCTACCTGGCTGTAGATCAGAGCCCTACCTCTCTATCCCTTGCTTCTCCTCCTTTTTCCCAGGGTTAGGGTTGGGCAAGGCTTCTGCTTAGTGTGGAAAACTGAGCATAGTCTGACTACTTGGGAAAGAAGGGAGGAAAAAGGGAAGATGTAATCTAGGAGCTTCAAGTCTCAATGTTTTTCCACATCAGGCTGTTCCCATTCCCAAATGGCTCTTTTCTACACCTGAGGGAAGTGCTTATCGAGATCTGAACTCACATGGACACCCCACAGGGGCGCGATCAAAGAAAAGCCTGAGGTGCTGAATAGTCCCACACTCGCTGAGGAAGGTAAGTGGCCCGAACTCTCCATGATGAAGGCCATTGAGTAGTGCAACAGGTACCATCCCCCACCCCAGAGGCAGAAGCCAAGTGATGAAAGATGCTTGATGTGGCAAGGCTTAATATACAACACTCTTCCCACCCACACGCCTCAGTCCTGCCCACTCCTTGCAGGGGCTGTACTGCCTGCTCCATGCACACTCCTGACTTACCCCCACCCACAGATAAAGACCAGGAGTCCTCTGATCATCCATCGTCCCAGTGATTGGAGTGCATGAGCGCCATGGGGCTAAAAGAAATGGCCTTTTCTTAGTTTGGGTCCAAAATGAATGCCTTAGGCCCAGAAACCCAGGATCACAGCTGGGAGCAAGATGGCCCCCTTTCTAAGCCCCATTGGCTCCTTTGTGCTCTTGGACCGTGAGGCACACTGCACAGGGAAGGCTTCTGAGTAGCTTCAGCTCAGCTCGGACTCATTTTACCTTGGCCCCCCATGCACACTGTTTCAGGCATCTTCCTCGTAGTTGTTGTTAAGTGCTGTCGAGTCGGTTCCGACCCATAGCGACCCTGAACGGGGTTTCTGAGGCTGTAAATCTTTACGGGAGCAGAAAGCCTCATCTGTCTCCCGCAGAGCGGCTGGTAGTTTCGAACTGCTGACCTTTTTTAGGTTTGCAGCCCGATTTGTAACCACTACGCTACCGAGAGCGCCTTTCCCCTTGTAGTAGTAATAGAAAAACTGATTTCCTGGTACACTGATGCCGCGGGTGCACTGCCGTGATGGTAGGAGAGACAGCAGCTTTGGTGAAGGACTCCTGATGCCAGTCTTGACATCTGGTTGATGGCCAGACCTGTGATAGGCTCAGTCTCACTCTACCTCTGTTCCTTGAATACCCAGATCCTGGACAGCCCAGGGACATGGTACCTGGAGATTCACCAACTCAGGAATAAAACTGTAGGGGAGGCAGTGATGTTGGTACTAGGACATTTATTACATCATAAAACGTCCAATGTTGTCCGGTCCATTTTTCCATATGTACACGCTCTGGTGGACAGTCCCCCTGCCCAGTGCCATCTGCCTACCTACCATGGTGCCAATCAATTCTCCAAACCGACTAATGAATCAAAGAGGAAGAACTGGAGGTGGTAGTCCAGGGCTGACAGGAGTGGACATGGGAGAAGGAAACAAAGTGCAGAGTGGTTGGGTTTGGCTCTCATTGCCTCACTGGGGCAGCAGGAGGGACACATGGGCACCACAGGGCTGGCACAGTGATGCCAGCCCAGAGCTGCCAGGCTGGAGGCAGAGGCTGCAGATGATGCCTGAGTGGGCTCTCCGGTTGAGCCCCTAGGAGGGGAGAGCAGAGGAGGAAAGCAGTCCTACAGTCTGATTGGAGGTCCCAGGAGGGGTTGCCAAAGTTTTCTTCTTTTTCAGATCCCCATCCACGCAGCAGTCACAGCAGCTTGGCTAGGCTGCTAGAATCTGTTGCTCCTGGGACAGCTGGGGCGGGGCAGGCTGCTAGGAAGTCCTGGTCCTGATTTTGGCCTTAGTTGACCTCGGAGGTGGGCATGGGGTCTGTAGGGCGGGGTGTGGCCAGCAGGGGCACTGGTGAGGTGGCCTCAATGAGCGCAGGGTTGAGGATGATGGGCAGAGTCATGGGGGGCACGCCCACCTGCAGTGGGGAGGCCAGGGGCTGTAGGATCAGTGGGGGCTGAGCCAGGGGTGGAGGCCCATCTGGGGTGGGGCTCAGTCTGCTGGGGCTAGAGGCCACTGGTGATCCTGGGGAGCTGCTACTGACAGTTCGGGGGCCCTCAGACTTCTCCAAGTCTGTAGGGAGAGCAAAATGGCCGCAAGTGAGACCCAGGGTAACTCATATCCCTAGCTAGGTCTCCTCTCATCACCAATGACTCACCTCAGGCTAAATAATTGGTAGTCTTGAAAGTCATTCCACTGTTCCAACTTCCTATGTCTGTTTACCTCTCCCTGTTTTGCTGTATACCCCTCATGTGAATTTTGGTCTGGGCTTAATTAGAATCCATTCCAAGTCCCTTTCTCACTCAGCTTTTCTCTCCTAACCCTGGAAATCTCAAGCTTGTCCTGGCTTCCTTGGTCCTGTACTGCCCATAGGAAGAGCAGGCAAGCAGGGTACCCGGGTTCATCTTTGCCCTGCTCACAGCCCCAAGCTATCCTGAGCCTCCTCTTAGGCCTTCTGCTTCCTGACCAACTTCCAGCAGGCTAGCCCACCGGGACTCACCACAGGCTCCCAGCTCAGAGGGCATCTCTAGGAGAGGTGGATGGACAGGTGTCCTGGTGTCACCAGCAGCAGGAGTCAGGTGGGCTGGGGCGAGAGGTTTTGGGGCATGAGGTTCCATCGGCATGGGATCTGGAGAGGTAGAGAATTCACATGGCAGCTCTCAGTGCTTTCCTTCCAGCAGAGCTCTGGCTGCCCACCAATCTTCCCACCCATCCAGGGCACAGAGAACTAATTCAGCTCAAGAGTTTTATGGATCCTTCTTGATGAAGCTGGGCTGAGTCCCCTACCCTGAATGACAGTCTGCTTGAAGAGTTCATCTCGTAGGTGGGGTAGGAAACAGTCAATTCGCTCCCATGTGATCTCCCAGAGGGCAGAGGGGCCACCACCTCGTGAATCTGCACTGTGGAAAATCTCTGCTGTGTCCATGACCAGTAGCATGTTCTTCAGAGATTCCGGGATGGCCTCTGACTGTAAGGGCAGTGGGACCATGAGAACAGGGAGTACGGCAAGGGAGGGGAAACTACCACGGGGTGTGGAACCAGTAACTTTTCCCAGTAGCAGGGAGAGGAAGCAGGGAGTGGGCTGAGGTAGAACATACCAGCAAGTCGCTGGAGCCTGCGTGCATATACTTGTCCATGAAGTCCAGGATGGTCAGCCAGAGGGCCGCAAAGGTAGAGAGTGACAGCAGTGGAGACAGGTGCTGCAGAAAGACCTATGGCCACCAGCTCTGTCAGCTGAGGACAGCATAGGAGCCTTCTACACCCTTCTTCAAGGCTGGGTGAGAAGTCTGCCCTAGCTTGCTTGCATGGGACTCAGGTTCCCCTGAGTTCCAGAATTCTCCTGGGGGCTTGGGTCCTGCTGAGGCTCTATAGCTCAGCACCTATGCTGCAGCCCTAGCTTCCTTTCTTGGGAAGAGGCAGGTGTGGGCAGAACAGGCCATAGGTAGGCATAGGGTGGTGTGCCATACCTTAGAGAGCAGGGTGGAGGCCCTCATCCGGGTTTCCTCCATCCCACCCACATCTGCAGGGCTGATGTTCTCCAAGAGCTTGGTCAGTAGAGGAAACAGCACCTGGGGGGTAAAGAAATATCCACCGTCTCTGGCAGGGTCAGCTGGGTAGCTCTGCCACCAAAGGCCAGGGGCTGGGGTGGATGGGCACAGAGCAGAAACAAAAGCATGCTACAGGTTGAGGACTAATGTTAGGGGTTCTTGAGGTTGCCTGGCTCTTGTCTTAAAAGATTTGAACTGTATCTTCAGTCCAGCAGGAAGTCTTACCTTGTTAAAACAGGACTCCCATTCCAGGGCATCCAGCTTTTGCAGATCGTGGACCAGTAGTGCTCGCTGCAGATAGGTCAGTGCCTGCATCCGCACCTGGCGCCGGGCGTCACAGCACAGGCAAGCAATGCCTAAGAGCATGAGCAGCATCAGTCTCCTTTCAGACCCCTGGTCCCGCGGCTCCACCCACCCCTGCTGGGTCCCTGCCTGTACCCCTCAGGGTTACCCTGCAGTAAAGGGCACCAGCAGTGTGCCCAGAGGGTGCGAGAATCTGCTTCGATCTTCCTGCCACCTGTCTCCAGGTGGCGCTGTTCCTCGGCCCATGAGCTGTAGATGGAGGCTGCACGTGTGTGCAGGGTGTGCATCAGGTCCAACAACTGGGACAGCAGGAAGGAGGCAGGACATTAGTGAGGTTCAGTCTGGTGAGCCCTGTTATCCACCTCCCCCTACCCCACTGTCCCTGACTGAGCCCGGGGGGCGGGGGGGTGCCTAGCACCCTTCGTGGCAAACGCCATTCTTCTCACCAGAACCTTTGATAAACTGGTTGCCTCCATCCTGAGTAGTTTCTTTCCCAAAGTGTGGGTCAGGTACCACTCATGATAGAGAAGACTGTAGGAGATGTGTGGACTAAGTACTGAATATATCAAGTCACACAGAGGGGAAAACTAATTTCAGTTCTGTCTCTTACCTTCTGAGGTATCATCTCATTAAAAAAACCGGAACGCAAACTTCAGACTCAAAGGCTCTGATGGGCAAAATGGCCAGACTAGACATACTTTTTCTAAGGTTACTGATTGAAGCTGGCTCTTTTATTTTATATGCCTGTGTGGCCACTGGAAGGCTACATTAAGAAACTGCTAGCAGTGGCCTCTGGGGAGGGGACTTTAGTAGATGGGGACAGGAATGAAGACTTACTTTTTTATCTGTTTACCCTTTTGTACCTTTTGAATTTTGAACCATGTGCATATATTACCTATTCAAAAAATAGATGAATTTTAATTTAAAAATAAAATCTAATTAAAAATAGAAGAGTTACAGTTGGTCTTGGATAAGGTAAATAATGTGAAAACGGTAGTTAAGGACCTGGGCTAAGAAACATGGGCCCTTCCTCCCAGTCCTGGCTTTCCCTGGCCCCAGCTGGGCATGCAAGATCAGGTATGGGGTGAGAGGAAATAAGGGTGCCATACTTACGTCTTGACTGACCTGTAAAGACACCGTATGGTAGCTGGCTGGCACGCCTTCATCCTCATCATCATCACTATGTCCTCCCCGAGTGGCATGTTGGCTTGAGGTTCGAGGCCGTCGAAGCACTGAGCCCTCCTTGGATTTCTTCTTGAAGCGGTTTCCTTTGCTGTCATATTTGTGACTCTTGCTCCGTTTCTCCTGGGATTTGTATCCTGAGCAGAACCAGACCCAGGTCACATCCCCATATCCATGTCACAGATACCCTGTTTATTCCTCCCCTCTCTGTGCTTCCCCTGTGTAGTCACACATTACTCCCCATCTGCCCCTCTATCAGGTGACCCACCGCCATTCAGACTGGCTTCCACAAAGATGCGAAGAGTCTTAACGCAGAGTTCAAAGTTGTCGGGTGTGATGTGGGCAGCGTCTCGCACAACAAAGGACAGTGATTCCACACACTTAAGCAGGGACTTAGTGTCGTGTGGCCCCAGGTCCAGCCCCACTGTTAGGCTGTACTGATTGACCAGGGATGATGAACCTGGTCTACTGAGCCCAGGCCCTGGCTTGGAGTTATCGATGTCATCCTTCCCCACCTGAAAAGTACATAGAAAACCTGGGTATCCGGGCTTGACCTCAGTTTACCCCACTGATGTCCCTTCATAGGAGCAGGAAATCTCTTCCACAGGCCAAGGAGGGAAAACGCACCCACTGCCCATACCTCACTTACCACTAACCAACCGCTGTTGACCACATCAGCATCTGTGGCTGATCGGTGTATCTTGCCAGGCCTGTTATGGTCAGTATAGACCTCTGAGTCGGAAGTGTAACCTCGGTCTAGGCTCACGTCATTTGGATGGTAGGATGGGAGCTCGCTGTCTGATTGGGCCCCTGAGCCAGCCAGGGAAAGGGCAGAGTGAGAATGGAGACACAGGGATAAGGGCTGCATTAGGCTTGTAAGAAGAAGGGTACTGAGTCTGACCTCCCTTCTCTCTGACCTGGCCTAGTTTCAGCCTGTCACTAGAGGATTGAAGGATGGGTTTGACATTTCATCTCTTGACAGCAGGCTAATTTGGGTGAGAAGCAGTTACAGGATTGGAGGCTGGTGACGACAAGGGTATAATATTTGGGAAAATAGTCCTCAGGGTAGTAGGAAGCCTGGCTTCATAGCCTTCTCCATTGCCTCGTTGCCTTCCTGCTACTAGACCTGTCTGTACTGGGGAGAGGCCAGCAAGCACTGGAATCAGATGGCCGAGCCAGGAGTGTTTGATCTGCCAAGTGTAATAACCTGTGTTTTATTTTCCTGCCCCAGCCTGGCCATAACTGTTTTGTCTGCCAATGTGGTTCTCCCGGGAAAGGGCTTACCAGCATCAGGTGCATCTGCCCTGGCTGTGGCCTGCAGGGCATCTGGAGGCTTCACGCCTGAACCAATGCACTCCAGAAGCGTGAAGAGGGTGGCCCAGTCATCCCCTGAGTGGATGTTGGCTGCGTTTGTCTTAAGGAGTTCATGGAGCCCATAGGCGACCTGGTGGCTAACTCGGGACAGCACACTGGGCTTCATCAGTAGCAAAATGCGCAGAGAGAGCAGTACCTGAGGTGGGAAGGACAGGAAGTGAACACACAGCTTCCTGTCTTGTTTCCTTCCCCACCACTTTCCCTAGGCCAGTGAGGAATATTTACCTAAAGACCCAATTTAGGGCACTGCCAGTAGTCTTTTTTTTTTTTTTTAAACGGAAAATGTGATGGAGCTAATTGTAGATTTATATACAGTTATAAAATAATACAGAGAACTAACTTACTTTATCCAGTGTACCCCAATGGTATTGTACAAAACTCTAGTATCATGACCAGGATACTGACATTGATATAATTCAGTGATCTTATTCTGATTTCTCGTCTTAATTTATTTGATTTCCCTGGTTTTACTTATACTTATGTATGAGAGTGTATGTAAGCCCTATGATTATATTACCTGTGTAGGTTTAAGCATTCTACACGATACTGAACGATTCCAACACAAGGCTCTCTCATGCTGTCTTTCTATCATCACATCACATCTCTCCTGCTTCCATCCTTAACGCCTGGCAATGTGTCTTCCATTTCTAAGATTTTATCACTTAAGAATGTGTTATAAATGGAATTATATAATTTGTATGTAACCTGTGTAAGGATTTTTCACTCAGTATAATTCATTGAGGACTCCTGGTGTGGCACTGTAGAATCATCACTGGACTCTGAACCACAAGGTTAGCAGTTCAAACCCACCAGTTGCTCCTCGGAAACTACACAGGGTGGTTATGAGTCAGAACTGACTGGAAGGCCCTTAACAATAATTCACTGAAGATTCATTTACTGAATGGATGTACCAGTTTATTCACCTGTTGACGCCGTCCACACTGTTTCTAGTTTTTGTTGATTTGAGAGTTCTTTATATATTTTAGATACTTGTCCTTTGTCAGATATGTGGTTTGCAAATATATTCTCTCAGTCAGTAGTTTTTCTTTTTATCTTCTTCACATGGGCTTTCATAGAGCAAAAGTTTTTAATACCGATGAAGTCCAATTTATTTTAAAAAATTGTTTTGTAGATTGTGCTTAGATGTCAAGTCTAAGAACTCTCTGTCCAGCTCTAGATCCCCACGGGTTTTTCCCTATGTCTCTCTCTGAAAGTTAAAATTCTCATTTAAGACTATGATCCATTTTGTGTAAGTTTTTATGTAAGGTGTGAGGCTTCGATCACGATTCAGGTTCTCCCCTATGGATTTTAACTACGCCAGCACTGTTTGCTGAAAAGGTTATCCATCCTCCATTGAATTGCTATTGTACTATCTCAAAATTCAGTTAGGCAACCAATCAATGATTAATGTAAATGGCATTCTTAAATTGTATACCTGAAAAATGTTAAGTTGGCGAATGTTGTGCCAATGTGTCTCCCTCATCACCACCACACAGTGTTGCTTGTTATGTGCCAGCTAGTCAGTTCTGGCTCAGAGCAACTCTATTTAGGGTTTCTGAGGAGTAGCAGGTGGCTGTGAACCACTGACCTTGCAATTAGCAGTCCAAGTTTATCCTACAGCACACCACCAGGATTCCTACTGTAGCTGTGTGTGTATGAGATGTGCTGTCAGGTCAGTTCAGATTCATAGCCAGTTTCCAGTAAGTGGCTGGTTGGTTTGAATGCCCAACCTTGTGGGTAACAATCCAGTGTTTATCCTACAACGCCATACCAAGATTATAGCTGTTTATTTTTGTTGTTAAGTGCTGTCGAGTTGATTCTGACCCATAACGACCCTGTATAGGTTTTCCAAGGAGCAGCTGGTGAGCTTGAACCACCCAAGTTGCTGCTCAAATGACTTGGCAGTTTGACACATTAGCCCACAGCACCACACCAGGATAATAGAGTATAATAAGACTACAGCTATAGTATAGCCTTAATATCAGATGGTGATTTCTCCTACTTTTATTCTTTGTCAAGATTGCTTTAGCTATTCTAGATTCTGTGTGTTTCCATATAAATTTTAGATTCGGGCTGTCTATGTCTACAAAAAATCTTGAACTTTTGAATAGGAGTTGCCTTAAAAGTGTACATCAATTTGGGAAGAAATGACATTTTAGTTAGGTGGAAATCTTCCAATCTATGGATGCAGTGATTTCTTTGGTTAGCATAAAAATTTTTAGCATATACATGTTCTGTGTATGTGTTTTGTTAACTGTACTGGTATACTTAAGTTTTTATTTTATTTGAAGTAATTATAAATGGGTTTTTTTGTTTTGTTTTTTTCAGTTTCTGCATGTTGTTAGCTTATAGAAATGATTGATTTTTGTATTACTGATCTTGTATCCTGTGGCCTCGCTAAACTCACTTCTTACTTCATGCCTGTGGTCTTCTGTAGCTGGTTCAAGAGATCTCAGAAGGGTTGTAAAGGTTAGAGTCAGGAAGCTAGGTGCAGGGGCTGGGAATGCTACAAGGCAGCAGCAGTCCAGCCTTACATAATGGATTGATTCATAAGAGTCTGCAAAAGTGCGGAGTACCAGCTATATACCTGAGCCATTCCAGACTCATTCCCAACACCACCTGGCCTGTAGTTGGTCACTGGGCTCATGTTGTTGTTAGTTGCCATAAAGTCGGTTGTGACTCATGGTGACTCCATAGAATTTTCAAGGCTATGACCTTTGGAAGCAGTCACCAGGACTATCTTCCTAGGCATCTCTAGGTGCATTCAAACCACCAACCTTTCAGGTAGTAGTCAAACACTTAACCATTTGTACCACCCAGGGACTCCATAGGCTTATTTAATGGGGCACCAAGTGGAGTCCTGGTGTGGCGCTGAGGGTTAATGCGCTGGATTGCAAGATCAGTTTGAACTGCAAGTTTGGCAGTTCAAGCTCACCATCCACTCCTTGGAAACCCTATACAGGGTTGCTATGAGTCGTAACCAATTTGTTTACACTTTAACAACAAGTTTGTCCTCTGTCTCAGACTATTTCTACAATTGACAACGTCATCTTAGTCCCTTGCATATATCCATCTGCCTTCCCAGCTGTACTGTGCTTACCTGGCCACTGATCTCCTCTCTCCGGAGCAGCCGAATGGCCAGGCGCAGCTGTCCCACCACTGCCCGCTCCACAAGGAAGCAGAAATCCTGTGCTTGAACACACAGGTGGTATAGATGGTCTCGAACGGTCTGCCAGACACAACCCACACGATCCCTGGGAGTACAAGAGATGAGAACACCAAGCAATGAGCTTTCCTTTCTGGTCCAGGTTCAGCCTTTCAGGGATCATTTGCATTAGACCCTGAGCAGGCTTCTCCCTTCTGCTTCATGTGCTCCTTGCCCCAGCATTCATTCAGCAAGATGGATCTAGTCTTCCATCCTTTTGGCACAAGCCCAGTACGTGGGGCCTGCCGAAGACTACCCCTCAGCCACCTTCTCCTACCTGTTCTCCAGCACAATCCTCAGCAGCATCTCCAGACAGAAAGCAGCATCCTCCTCATCATACGTCTCCTCATCTGGTGTCACCGAGACTAGAGCCTGGAGGGGACCAGCAGGAGGAAGGTAAGCATGAAGAAACCAAACCTAGATTCCTGCTTTGCCAGGAATCTAGGCATAAACCACTGCTCCTTTCACCCCAAACCTAGCCCACCCTTCTGCTGCTCTTTGCTCTTCATCTTGTACCTTCATGAGCTCCTGCAGTGACTCCAGTTGGAGGAATTTGCTTTCTGTGATCATCTTTTCTGGATCACATTGCTAGAGAGGGCACAAGAAAGAAGGGATCAATGATAAGGACTGGAAGTGAGAGAGCTTCCCCAAGAGCCAGTGAAAGAGGGAAGACAGCCCTGGATACAAGCCCTGGACAATTCTATTAATCAGTTAGCAGGGCAGCATCTACCAAGTAGGGAGGGGATCTAGGCTTGCTCATGGGGGAGAAGAAGCAGACAGTTACCCTGATACAGTCCAAGGCCACTCTCTTGGCCTCTTGGTTCTCAGTGGATGGGCCTCGCATGCTAGACTGCTCAGGACCACTCAGTGTCAGCCAGCTCACGAAGCTCAACACTGTTGACTCTCCTCTGTAGAAAACACGTACAAGCCCTTGTAAGCCTGAGAGCTATGACCTCCCAATCTGAAGGTCTTCAGTCTTTGCTCTACCCTCACCGGTTTGATGGTGTCTCTTCCCGCTGCAGAGAGATCTTGCCATTGGGATCCACAAAGTCTTCTACCTAGAAAAGCAGATCAAATATCAGTTCTTTTCATAGAACTCTTTGCTTATACTGTTTGGCCTCCTCCAACTGGTGACCAGCAATGGCTCCTGCCAGCCTTCCTGTACAGCTATCCCCCAGGATCTATAGTTTTACATTTGAGGTGTTCTGGTTAGCTTCTGCAGGTATCAGGCCCAGTACTACTCTCAACCAATTCTGTAAATCTTGGGGCTCTTGCCGTATTACTGTTGACTGTTCTCCAATTAACAATTACCTCCACCATAGCTTGAGGCAGCAGTTGGGCTCGGAAGAGCTGCAGCATGGCTTCCATGATATTCTTCCAGCCTTCCCGCAGGATGTCGCCATGACAGTGTGCCAAATGGAAGACCATCTTGGCCGCAATGTGGGCTTTAGGGTTGCTTCCAAATACACTGGGCAGGTTCTCAATAGACTGGAAAAGAGGATGAGAAAAGGCTTAGGACCTGGCTAATGTCTGGAAAGGAGAAATCTTTCACGGATCTGCCTCTGGTTCCCTGAGGGTCCTTCTGCTGGCTCTGTTTCAATCTCCTATAATATTGGGCAGAGGGCTAACCTGGTTAAGGCCTTCCCTACTCTTACATCTCCTCTCCCATCCCATCCCATATGGTGATAAACTATTCTCATTCCAGGGTATGCAAGACAGAAATGATCTAAACTCTGCTGTGGGGTCAAGTGGGCCTTAGGAAGATGCTGCAGGAAACCAGCTCCAGAGAATGGTATAGAGATGGCTAGAAGACATGTCTTCCTTTGAAATTTGAAATACCCAGTTCTTTCCCATGCTCACCTCACTGCTGAGAGCTGTGAATTTGCACAGTGAGATGATGAGATTGTCAAACACATCACTGAGGCCGTAGTGGGCGGAGATCATGGCGCACTTCCTGTAACGTTACCCCATCCCAGAAACAGTGTCACTGAAAGGTCCTTCCACATCCCTGAGGAGGTCTTCTAAGACTCTTCTCCAACCAGATCCAGGAAGAAATCTACTGTGAGTCTGTTTAAACTCGAATTTTCCCAGAGTCCCCTCCAAGCTTCCCTCCAAAAACTCAGGAGGAAAAAGAAGAGTGGGCATCAGAGAATCCACAGCGATGCCTACAACTAGCTCAGGTGGTGGGGTACAGTGGGGTGGGAGGGGGACAGAGTTGGCTTACCTGAAGCCCGAGATGGATTTCTGGATGATTGTCTCCTCAAGGCTTTTGTCAAAGACATAAGAAAGAGCAGCAATTGTGGGGCCCCAGGTCATGGTGAAGAGGTCAAGATCATAGCTGCCAGCAGGCACACGCAGGAATATGCCCTCAGGGGTGGCACCCCGATGGAGTAGCACATTCCATACATAGTTCTCCCGAACCAAACCTGTTTGCTCCTCAGGCATCACAATTTCCTCATTCCTGTTACAAGGTAAGAGAAGGAACAGGTGCACCCTTATGAACCTGACTGGTTCCAACCTAGGACAGAGGGCTTCACCCACCCACACTGGCATTCTCCCATCAATGAGTGGGACCAGGGTGAAAGAAAGGAAGTACCACACAATCTCCCCTAATCTCAAAGCCCTGTCTGTAAGTAGGGCCTTGAGTTCTGAAGTAAGAACTCACAAGCTGTCTGTGTGAGAAGTTGAAAAACTACTTTTTCCAATGTACAGCCAAGAACTATGTGTCCTGTTTCTGACCTCTGACCCAAGCCTCTAGTGCTTATTTTACATTTTGTAGTAGCGCCAAAATGCATCTTCGGAACTAGACAGGAAAATCCAGGTGGTTTGGGTTTGAGGCACAATTACAGCAGGCCACTTTAAGGGGCAGCTGTGACTCCGGTTTAGTGTGCTGGAGTCCCAATGCTGTTCAGGCTTCTTTAAAGAAGAAACAAGTTGGCAGAGAGAAGGGATGCCTAACTAAGTCCCAAGGCTAAATAATCAGGGCATATATGATTGCTGCAGAGCCTGATGTGACTCTAAGAAGAGGAAAAGGAGACAACGTGGTTTTCCCTAATGGAGATGCTACACTGCCCTCTGTCCATACTCACTTGATGGCATGGTACATGTCCTCCAGGATGTCTTGCTCAAAGTCCTTGCCTCCGTTCACACCTTTTAGGTTTTTGCGAAACTCCTAGAGACAGGCCAGTGAGCTTTCCCCCCTGTGTCAATGCTGAAGCCCCACCCAAACAACTCCTGGATCTGTAGTAAATAGGACTTAGGCAACAGTAAGTGAAAGACTGCCCCCCTTCCCACCTTAATTTCTCTTTTGGGTTGGCCAGTCCTCCAATTTCCTTGGGCAGAGAGTACTGTCCTCTGTACCCATCAGAAGCCCCATGTCCTTCCTGCTTCCTCTAAAGCGGTGCTAGATCTTTTCTACCCTGGCTGGAATCCAAGCTTACCTCCAGGGTCATGGGTGCATTCTGTTTGCGAACATTGTGGTTGTGTTGGTCAGTATTAAGCATGATGACAGCATAGGCCAGGGCAAAGCAGGCATCGCTATTGGCAAATGGGGAGCCATTACAATTCTGAAAAAGCAAAGACCCCACCTGTGTCACTGCTGTTAGCTGGCTAGGTAAAACCCCACTATCAAGCCCCCGGATCCTGGTGTGGCACTGCGATTAATGCGCTGGACTGCAAGGTCGGTTTGAACTGCAAAGTCAGTGGTTCAAGCTCACCAACTGCTCCACAGAAACCCCATACAGAGTTACTATGAGTTGGAACCAACTCAATGGCACTAAACAACAATAGCCACCCCCCCGCCTCCGTCAGTGCTGGTATACAGTGAAGTACCACTCAGAAAGTGTCAATCTCTTGCTAGCTACTTAGTAGAAGCTTTCCATTCCATGGAAAACTCACTAATGTTGCGCTCAAATTTCTTTAGAGACAACAGCTAGGTCCTTTAGTTGGGGGCCATAGACACTCTCAGTCAGATTGATCTGGGACCCCGAGCTCAGCCTCTACCACACAAACTCACCCTCCAGTGCTCTGTGAATGCCTCTAGCAGCCTCTGGATGACTGGTGCTTCCCCAGGCAAGCGGAAGGCTTCCAGATAGAGGCGGAGAGCCTCATCCAGTCTCAGACCTTGAAAGCTGAAGGTGCTATAGGAAAGGAATAAGGATGAAAAGGTAGAAGATGCTGTAGGCTATAAATGTTGGGCTCTCTTTCTATTAGTCACAATCTTCCTAACCTGTTCCTCCTGGACTGTGGCAAAGAGGCGGTATCTCCTGGTCATTCTAACATAGAACAGAACTTTAACAATCCCCCAGTACCTTAGTACTTTTCACATCAGCAAGCTCTTGTCTAGTAACTTTATTCCCTGAACTAGCCCCTTCTCTGTGCTAAGGAATCCCACTCCATCCCTTTGCAGTATTACAGAATGGAGAGGCTCCCAAAATTATGTCTCTAGAGTTCCTTTCAGGACCAACAGATACAGATGATGACAAGAGGAAGCACATGTGGTCTGGATCACTATCAGGAATTGAGTGGGTCCACTCTGAGGGATGGTATCCCTGTACTTGCAGAAGAATTACCAACTATTTCCCACATTACTTACAGCTTCCTCACCTCACAAAGCTTTCCAACAGGTCAATGTTTTTACGGTCGCTCACAAACTCTCCAATCATTTTCTTGTCCAGTCGAGGGTTCTCTCGGAGCCACTGGGCTACCTCTGTGTTGTTCATTGGGATAGTTAGGAGGCCCTTTTCCTGTAGAAACTGGATCCCTTTCTTTGGTTTCTGGTTGAACTGCTCTGTGCCAGTGATCAGCAGCTGGAAGAGAGAGAGCAGAGGTGTCCCTAAACCAGACAAGACCAGACTGGATTCATCACACCCACAGCTGGTCAGTTAATGTGCTCCAATGATGTGGTCCTTGGTAACTCTAGCACTAAATCTAGATCATACTGCTCCTAGCTTTCCCCTATTTTCAGGTCTAATTAGATCTGGCTGAGAGCTCCTTTTCAGAGTACTCAAGGTGCATGGGACAGCCCCTCTACTCCAGCTTAAGGCTCAGAAAAAAACCCCCAAAAAACTAGAGAAGATTTCCTACTCTCATTTTATATCCATCATCCCTGGGGCCTATTTATAGTCAGTCTCTTGTTAATGACCTAGACTGGAATCACCTCCTTTCTTTGGCTGTCTAACTCTTAAGGCTGTGGGGTTCCAAGGACATGCTGAACTGTGATGATAACTCAGCTTTCTGTCTGTACATTCATAGCCCTGAAATCAAGGATACATAAACGTCATTTAGGAGGTAGACTGGCAGTAAAAGGAAGAAATGGTTAAACAGAAGTTTTATTTGTGTGTGTAGGATACGTAATTATTTGAACTTTACTGGTGTACCCAAATAAAAAAAGTTTCCTTTTATTGTCAATCGGCTCTCTAGAGATAGAGATGATCAATAGCCTGTGACTTGTATGACACTAGCTACTAGGTCTCCGTCACCCCCAGTAAAACTTGCCTTTCAGCAAGGATAGCATTTGACCAGGGGCATGTAATATGGTATGCCCAACTACAATGGCTTAAGAGTAAGGGACGAGTTTTCTCAAAGTTGACGGGGACAGGGAGGGGGGGTGATGAGGAGGTGGCTGAAATTTCAACAAATGCATAGACTAACCTTAGAGGAGACTTTACTATGAGCAGCAAGACTTTCTCCCTCATGACCTGAGATAGAAACCCTACAAAGGACACTCAGACAGGACGGACAGAGGCTGAGCTCAGGGGATATGTACCTTCTTTTTGTTTTTAATTTCAATCAGTTCCTGTGACTCTGGCAGGAGACTAGAAAATCGAGGTGGCTTCCGGGCAAACTTTTTGTCAGCTAGGAATGGGAGAAAGAAAGTGAAAAACCCATAAGACCTCTTTTATCAGGACAATGCATTTTGGAAGGTCACTGATATATACCCCAGAGGCTTTCTTGTCCTTGTCAGTCACCCACTGCTCGAGAAACCTATCTTCTGGGACTCCATATACTGTCTTTCTGGGACTAGGGTATGGTAAGCATACAAGGCTCATGCAGGCACTTCCCTAGGGCTATCTCTTCTCTTTTCGAGGACTTCCAGCTGAGGGGACAGCTTAGGGTTATGGACACCCGGTCCCCACCCCCAGAATCACCAGCATCCTCCAGATCACTGCATCCTGACTTCCCGTGTTCTGCTGGCAGCTGTCCTCCACCTGGCAGATGCAGGCCTGGGATATCAGGGGCCATGCCTACAGTTTTCCTCTCGCTGACTGCTTTCTCAACTGGTAAGAAAGAAGATGTTCATGTGAAGATTTTGGGGGTAGGAAGTGGAGCAGAGCTTCAGGAGAGGTTAAGTCCCAAGCAAGGACTGCATGCTCTTACATAGGGAGCTGGCCCTCCCCAGGACAAATTCAAGCCAAAAACAAAGGGTTACTAGTGCAGATCTGCCATGCACTAAATTTCATAACAAATAGGCTATACAGACACCTTCCCTGAAATTCTGAAAACTTAATCTCAAGGTGAAGATGTTACTTGTTAAGTGCTTTCGAGTCCATTCTGACTCATAGTGAGCCTGTATTGGGTTTCTAAGGCTGTTAAGCTTTATGGGAGCAGAAAGCTCCATCTTTCTCCTGAGGATTGGTTGGTGGGCTCAAACTGCCAATCTTGTAGTTATTATGCCAGTGTTTACAGAATCACTGTGCACTATATATATAATAATTACATTGTTGTTAAGTGCTGTCAAATCAGTTTTGACTTATAGCAACCCTGTGTAGGGTTTTCGAGGAGTGGCTGGTGGGTTTGAACCACTGATCCTATAGTTCAAACTGATCTTGTGGTCTCGTACATTATCTTGCAGCGCCACATAATACATATACATAGTTTTATTTATATGTACACACACACATACTCACACACACAGTGGTGGCTAGGTACTGTGGAGTTTATTCTAACTTATAGTGACCCTGAATAGGGTTTCTAAGGTTGTAAATCAATATGGAAACAGAAAGCCACATCTTTCTATCTTTCTCCTGCAAAACAGCTGGTAGTTTCTGCTGACCTTGAGATTAGCAGCCTGACTCATAATCACTACGCTACCATAGTTCCTCTTACACACACACAGACACACACACACACACACACATAAATTTTTAAATGAAGTTGTAAAATGCACTGAAATACTGATGATTATTTTCCATGTGAATTCAGATGATGATTAATTAGAAGGGTGCAAACACTAGAGGTGGAGGTAGGATGGGAGAAGGTGGATCCTGTAGCTTTTAGGGACAGAGTCCTATAGCCTTTAATCTGTTCTCTCACTGCAAAGACACAGTAATTCTTTAAAGACTCCTAAGTGGGGATGTGGAGAAAAGGAGTCTGGCCTGTGACTTCAAACCACGAATTCCTGGAAACCCAGAACAGAGAATATCACCAGAAGTGATGTATGGGCAGGCGATAGGATTCAGTGGGTAGAGAGAGAGAAAACATAGAACTCTGGGATCCTCAAAGAAAGAAAGGCCTCTTACCACTACTGGCGTCTCGGGTACCATCTACTGCCTCACAGCTGTGTCTGGCTGCCTCTTTCTTTTCCTGCTGGGTGAGGTTGTTGAGGCCTTTGGCTTGGCAGTGGGCTTCAGTGCTGTCAATCACTGTTAATAGGGCCTCAAGTGACAGCAGGTGTGTTGTATAGAGCTGACCAGAGACAGGGAAGGCATTCTGGAAACAGTAAACAGATTCAGTAGACTTGAAGTTTCAATACTTTATACTTTAACTGATTTTCTTCCAAAACTCCTGATGCCGTCTATAACTTCTACATTGCTCTGAAAAAAGGCCTTTCTTCTTCTCATTTCCCAAATAGCAAATGTTCCCCTCATGTATGTAGCAACCCTCAACCACCCCCTAATAAATAAGCCTTCTTTCTAAAGGCCAGTAATGATCAGCACCTTGGACAGCAACTTGGTGAGGTCCTCAAAAAGATTGGAACAGTAGTAGTCACAGTCATAGTTGATGTAGAGCTCAGTGACAAAACTGGGAATGCGCCAGAGTTGCACAATAGCCTCCAGTGCCATCTCTTTCATCTCATAAGGCATCTTGGGGTTCTCCACAGTGATAATCTCCATGAGTTTTTTGATGTACATCTGGCATTAATCCAGTAATTGCCATTTGAGGGTGTAAACAAATCAAGACAGGAAGAGACAAAAAATTGGACAGGAAGAATACTAAGTGTAGGAAACAGAAGCCGAGACAGGAGGCATGCATTATAACATCTCCTAACATACCCTCCTTTTTGGTTTCCATGCTGGGAAATAAAGTCTGACTCTCATGTCTGATCTAAAACAAGTTGCCTGTTGCCCTTTTTGAGCTCTCTGTGTGAGGCTGAACTGATCTTATGTATAATTCCTTTTCACAATATAGTGGCAAAGCTGGTGATTTGCTTACTTCTGTTGCACAAAAATTGCTAGTACAAGAGAGGTGTTCCCACTCATAATGAAGCTACCTGCCAATGCTAATACTTAGGTTTTCCCACTTCATAGCCAGCCCACTTTTCCCTGGGCTCTGTTTCACTTCTTCACTAATGAAGCCAGACAATGAGCCAAACTATGGGGGCTAAAAGCATTTTCCTTCAGGAAGCCTCGCCACCACCACATGACAGAGCTACTCCCACTGAGGACACCATGCATCTCTCTTTTTTTTTTTCTAAGGTCAGAAAACTCACCTCCAACTGGAACTTGAGGTGCTCCCGCATGCTCTCAAACAACAGGAAGCATACCCGCAGGGAAGCAGCATAAAGGTTCAGGCGTTCTACACTGAGGAGCTGGAGATTAGAGTAGGATGGGCCATGAGATTTCTGAATCGGACTATGACTCAACAAGGAGAGAGAGGCAGGAGAGTAAATTGGGTGAAGTTGCCATTGAGGTCTTACGCTCAGAGGAAACCATGTAACCATTCCTATAATTTCCTCTGGCTGCCAGAGTCCCTGGGAACTATTGGAACCCTCTTATGACTACTGGCCAATCACAAGAGAAATGTTATTCTAGGTTCTACATTCTTTTCACACATCAGTCAGCTGCCCTGTGTTCTCCCAGCCCTGGAGAGACCTTGAAGAATAGCCAAGGGGCTCTGAACTGCTCTAGAAATTCAGCCTTACCTGGAATAAGTGGCGGCACATCTCATCCTTGATGAGGCCCAAGAGGGTCTGGCACTTGGAGACAGGAGCTGACTCAAGCGCTACTGTCAACAAATGCAGGCCCATGTGGATCATAACCTCTGAGTTGTGGCGGTCATGTGGGTTGGTGAGAGAGATGAGAAAACGGAAGAGCTCTCGGATACACGGAAGTCCATAGGGTAACAAAGCTGTACCTGGGGAAGCCAGAGAGAAGTGAGACTGCTAAGTAACAACTGGCCTGATGGCTTGACCTCACCTGATGTGCATCACACAAGGCAATTTCTGATGATTCTCTTTAAGGAAAAAACAGTTTTGTGATTTTTCCTGGGAAAGTGAAGGGACTAGTCTTACTTATTGCAGGGAATCAGAAAGGATGGTACTTCCTTTCTGTTAAAATCCAAAACTTCCTATTCTTTTCTCTCACTTCTTATTGTCCACCAAATTCCCTCTTTGTTTAAGTTAGGGAAGGACTCTGCCCATGCCAGTGGTCCTCTGGCTTGATTCCACTTGGTCTAGAGCTTGGACCAGCAGGCAGTAGCCACTTTGGGTCCAAGATGGTCTAGCCTTAGGCAGCTTAGTGGGTAGAATGGAACATGAATGGGCAGACAATGCCAGAGAATACTTGCCTTCTTTCTGGGAGGACTGTGTAAAGCGCACACCCCGGGGATTGACATAATCCATGTCATGGACAGAGGCAGAGTCGGAGTGGTCAGCAGGGGATGTGCACTCCTCCAATACCTCAGGGATAGATTCCACAGATGCCGATTGGGCCTTTTCCACCTGGGTACTTTCCTGCTATAAACAGTAACGGGAATAAAAGACAAGGTATGACAAGAAAAATTTGGGGCTTATCCTTGAAGTCTTTGTCTTTTGATCTATTTCTAATGGACTGCAGGTGTGCAGGGCCAGCTCCGTGGGCTCAGTACAAGGTGGCGCAGGGCAGGAGTCTGATGAAGGATTCAGAACACACATCCTAAGGCAGCATCCTGAGTTACAGTGACTGGACATTACAGGTAGCAGAGGCTCCCTCCCACAGGCCTGGGATTCCGATGATTCCCTTTCTGAGGAAGCTACAGTCAGTTGCCTCACTTTTGCCAAGTGCTGCCCATATGCACAACCTGATAAATTTCATCACCTCTCTTTACAGTGAGTCACGCTGTGGGTTTTCTAGGCAGCACAGCTAATTCTAGGAAGAACTCCCTTGCCTCACCTTTTTCTGAACAAAGGTCTAGATAAGGCCCCATAACAGATCAAGTTAATTCTCACAGTGGAAGATTGGAGAGGGGTTCTACCTGGGGGTCAGGCTGTTCGGGAGCCCTGAGCTCATTGCTCACAGGCCCTGCAGCTGCACTGTAGCCTGGAGAGCCAGCTTGCTCCAGATCGGTGAGGTCCTCCTTGGAGGTGGCCTGGGAGGAGTGCTCCAGGCCGCTGTCTGTAGAGGGGCTGACCACTGCTGAGGCAGTTTCTGAACTTGCAGAGGAGATGGGTGTAGGCCCATCAATGAAGGGCATGCCACCTGTCAAGCAAGGTAAGTGAGGCTTAAAGAAGAAGAAAGGGCAGACTCAGTGGGAAAACCATACCCTCCATGGTATGTTGTTAAGTGCTGTCGAGATATGAGGGGCTCAATTTCTCAGCCTATATCCTCTCACTGTATAAACTGATCTCTCTGCAAGGAGAGTAACCCTAGGGTCACTGCAGACTTGCTCAACAGTCGGTCTGACTTAACCTGGACTTTTCCCTTTTTGCTCTCAGCAGAAACTCCAAAGCCTCTCAGTTGATCAGTATTCAATTTCAATATCCCTGATAGAGTATGACATTTTTCTCCTACCTATTCTAATTAGAGGAAAACAGCCCAGGATACTTACCAGTGAGGTTAGAGGCTAAGGTGGTGCCATTGGGGGTGGGCAACTCTGAACCTGGTGTGACTTTGGTCATATGGCGAGGGGGCCTGGGAGATCTCTTCTGCTTTTTCCACTTGGATGAGTCACTCATGCCGCCTGCTCTCATTTTCAGCTGGAAATATCACACTTCATTAGCACTGGTATTCACACAAAGATCTTATCCCTAGAAATCTCCCATTTTCCAGTCCTACCAGTCCCTAGAAAAGCAGCTTATGCCCTACATTTATTTATGCCATGGTAAGAGTTGACACCATCTGATCCCATTCCTACTCCTCTAACCTGGCTTCTACATTTGCCACTTTGTAAGTCAGCTTGGCAGCCTCCACATGGAAGGTGACATTCTGCTTCTAGGCTGGTCATTAACAGGGCCCGTCCTCACACTGGTCATTCTACTCTCCTTGGTCCTAAGGCTTGTAAAGATCCATGACTCCTTGCAAAAAGGACAGAGACAGAGGCTCCTTTGTTTAGAGCTTCAGGTCTACAGGTCCGTGGACTTCTGGGCATTTCTCATCAACCATCCTGCACAGCAGACTCCTGTTACTGCTAATTCTTACCCAACTCTTAAGAGCCTACTCTCCTTCCCATCCATGCTTTTAGCTTTTCTATTGCTTCATGGCTTACTTTCTGGGATTTATATATCAAACTGTGTAAAGACTCATTCCTTGGAGAAAGGAAGGCATGGCATCCCAGTTTATTAATGGAATTAGGAATGTCATGCTCTCAGCTGTCCTCAATTCTGGTGCATCAAGGAGCCTCCTGCTCTTTTCAACATTGGTCTTTCTAGAAACAATTTGTTTTCAGCTGGGAAGGTCCTGATTCCTTGCACCCTTACTCTATTTCATTCCCCTCTCTCTTGCTGTATTTCTGTTCTTCCCAGAGCTTCCTTTTAGTCAGAGGAACTATCACCTGTTGATGACTCTAAGGTGTAAGTTTTAAAAGAAATTTCCTCTACCCTAAGTTCACAGTTACTTTAAGATCATTTCTTTTCCCTGACCCTGATGCTTTTGAAGCTGGGGTTTGAACCCAGTCCTGCTGCAGAATTATACTAAATGATCTCTGTACCAATGGTGGTAGTGGTATGTGCCGTGGAGTCGATTCCTACTCATAGAGACTTTGTATAGGGCTTCCAAGGCTGTAACTCTTTATGGGAGCAGAAAGCCTCATCTTTCTCCCACGGAATGGCTGGTAGTTTCGAACTGCCGACCAAGAGATTAACAGCCCGATTCATAACCACTGCGCTACCAGAGCTTCCTGAATTGGGCAGCAGCAACTCTTCCAGGAGCTAACAGACTCTAAAGAGAACAGAATCGCTTTTCCTCCTTGTCCTACCCCCTCCCTCAGTCTTCTCCAAACTCTATAACCTGGAGGATCCTTGATTCTCTGCCTAGAAACTATGTCTATCCTACCCATAGCTTCTTCCATTTGGTGAGAGGCCCCAAATCTGAGTTCTTCCCAGCTCTTACCAACATAGCAGTAACCCTGAACTGGATTTACACTCCTTGTCCCTTCAACTCTAAAACGCCTGCAGTCATATACCCGAGTTGGAGCTTGAAGAGCTCTAAGCATTGTGGCTACAGCTCTCCCAGAGCTAAGTTTCCCTAGAAACTTGCCCCAGTTTCAGCAGAAGTAGGGTCTGTGGAAGCTGGGAGAGCCTCCCTACTGGCACTCAGCTGGGTCAAGTTTACTGTAAAAACTGTTTAGAATGAGGAGTCAACCCAAAATGCAAAAGGACAAGAAGCCCAAGATATCAGTCAGAGAAAACAAGGACTTCCTGGGTTTACTGGCAGTTGTCTGGGTCCACTTTCATGAGGTACCCCTTCTTTCCAGGATGCTCCCCAATTTCAGGGACTCCAGGCAGTCCTAATTCCACTGAGAAGTCCACCATTCATTGAGGTTCCTTTCCACACTAGGCTCTGCCCTTCCTCACTGTTTTCTTCTCTGTCCTCTGCAAAGCTAGTTCCAACCTGTTTCACTGAGCTTTCTCTGCCTCCTGGCTGGAGTAGGGGCTGAGAGACTGTCAGTTCTCACAAATGTCTCATCCCTTCAAAAGAACAGCTGTGCTGCATGTCCTAACGTAAGGGGGAGGGGGTTGGGGGGCAGTAGGTATTCATGGAACCCTACATCACTATCTGCGCAACACTGTGTTCCCAAAGGACACATAATTAAAAAAAAAAAAAAAAAAATCATGGAGACAAGCCAGGTAGCCAATGAAGAGAGCTGCAACTTAAAATTAGACAAACACACAAATGAAACGTAAGAAAAGAGAATATAGGCCTACGAACTACCTAGCTAGGCAGACTCCCACAGTTCTTTTAATCTTCAAAGACCTGGATATCTACAACCACATCTCTAGCCTGCACTTTCTCCTGTGACAGACAGCTCACACAGTCCAGACCTCTTCCTCCTCTTTCTTAAGGTAGATATGGGAATTAGTAATTTCTCCTATATCTCAACCTTTAAAAGGCAAAGATGCCAAGATTTCTCAGTGTCCTGGGCTACCTTGATACCTAGTTTGTTTTTGTCAATATAGAATTCTAAACCTTGGAATGTCTCCTTTAATGGTAACCAAGAGAAAAAGAGACATCTCAGCTAGTTCAATTACCCTTTCCCTCCAACTCAGTCAAGGACTGTGCTTAATTTAAGCTCTCTATGCAGGTTTTGAGCAGAGAGGGGGTAGAAGAGAAGGAAGGGAAGGGTGTTGTATGGAGGTCCCTCAGTTTCTCAAGGAATGATAGTTCTTAACCCTCCCCAAAGGTGGCAGTAGGACTCAGGCTCAGCATCTAGTCTCACTAAATGATGTATCACCAGTTTAAGGCTTCCTCTTCCTGCTCCAGGCAACCAAATGCTCCAGAGAATTCTCCACCCTACAAAGCTACAAACACATGCAAGTTCCAAAGCTGTGCTGTGTTACACGGGAGGGATAAGTTGGGCTCTACACAGTGGAAATGGGACCCAGATGTTACATATACAAAAGTAAATAAACATTTGAAGAAATAAAAAGGGGGAAAGTAGAGGGAGAGGGAGAGAGACCTTGAGGTTCTTAAAGAGTAGTACCCTCTCTAACTGGTTCAGGGCTTTGGGCTGCTCCCCACTATTTAGCTCCAGTTTGTTGAGGAGACATGGAGAAATCTGTGAAAGACAGGCAAACGCACGATTTAAACAGAGTGAAATAAACTCAGACACACACCAACAGGGCACAGGGCAGGAATGGGGATGGATGGCAGGGAAGAGGGGAAGGTGAGGTGCATGCACCAAATGGCTAAGAGTCATCTCCATGGGCAAAACCACTTAGGTTTGCAAGCAGAATTCTCATCAGAGACCTGTGAAGTCCAGGTTTCAGATCATGCTAGAAGCCATTCTTCTGACCATCATTCTTCTCCTAGAAATTTGAGAACCTTCTGATTTGGAGTCAGGCTTGATTTGTCTCTTTACTAGAGGCTAGCACAAGTGTAAGCCCAGACTAATCCAGCAATACGATAGGATTTGGGCACTGTCTCTTAGGCTCCTACCTGCTGACAAGGCCTGGCCCTAGCAGGACTTTTATCTTTGTCAACATACTATTTTAGACAGCCTGCCGGACCTCACCAAGGGTCTATGAAGGATTGGCTCACCAGCTTATCTGGTGGGTCAACAAAGGCCAGAAAGGAAAAGCTGGGAAAGGAGAGGCATCTGGGAAAGAACAAATTGCCCACAGAAGGAGGGGTAGCTGTTTTCTAGATTCCAAGCAGACCTGTTAGACAAAAGCATGTTTATAACTAAGCAAAGCTACCCAGGAAAATCTCCATCACATTGAAGTTGGGAGATCAAGGCTTGGATTAGGGAAAACAGACCAGCTTCCAGATTATACCTTTTTCATGTTAGTCCCCACATAGTTCTTCGGTTCTTCTTTAAACTGAGGTAACCTACAAGATAAAGAATTCCAAGGAATGTCATTAGGGATAATAACAAGGTCCCCTCTCTAGTCAGCAATAAGTCAGAGATGCTCTGGGCCAGGAAAAGCTAGGAAGAGAATCAGGTTAATTTCACCCCTTTCAGAGCTTCATCAAAGAGCCACAGGAACTGGGGGATGCATGACATGAACATTTTCTAAAAGAGAAGGTGAAGTCAACAGGGCAAGGTAACTAAGTGCCCTTGGAATGTGGAGGTTTTTTTCATTCTTAAACAGACTCCTTGCTTATGTTCACTTGGTAAGTGTTGCCGAAAGCCAAGAGATAGGGAGAGGGAAATCTTATCAAATCCCCAAGGAACCTGGGCATATAGTGAGAAGGAAAAGCAAGGTTGAGGTTTTGAAGCCAGTAAATTTGAGTCTAAGAAGTAAGAAACTCTTTGCAGCAGGGACCAGGGGCAGACCCAGTCTGTAGATAACAAGGATTACTATTTATAGATCTGAAGAGCAAAAAGAAATCCCAAAGGGAGGTTTTAAAGCCATTTCCTCAGCTCTTCTCAAAGCTAGTCTATTAAAAGGAGGTGTAAGAAACCGACAGTAAAGGTGTACTATGAAAAGGCCTCCTATGCCCTAAACTGAGCACTTTGCCTACGGTAAACAACCATGCCGCCTGGTCTGGGACTTTCAGTGCTTAAATTGGGACAGTCCTGGGCAAACCAAGATCACGGCTCTGGTGACCCTAACCTTGACCCCTCCTACAGAAATCAGGATGAGCTCTGGGAGCTCAGCTACTTGTTTCAGTGCCTTTGGACTTGGTTTTCTCTCTGGGTTCTTTCCCAGCTGTACCTGCACAGAAACACACTAGTGTGGGATGCAGAATGAGATCTGTCAGCCTAGATCAAATAACCCTCTGCCTCCCCTTGAGGCCAAGCAAGCTCCCTCCTCTTTTTCCCTTGCCCAGTAACCCTGGGCCCAGAGAGCTACCCCCATCTATAATCCCAGTCGCCTCTGATGTGGCTGTGGGGTTGGCTGGATCCCTGAAGTGGCTATGTGGAAGCAGGCAGACTCAAGAGGCCTGGGCAGCCGGGCTGAAGCAAACAGCAGCAGGTTTACCTTGTGAAGAGCAGCTGCACCATGTCTACGAGAGTGTGCTCTGCGGATTTTCTCAATAACTCTGCACAGGCAAAAACAAATAACACAGGTGTCATTACTTGCTGTGCTATTATCAGGAGGCTTCTCAGAGCAGACTCCCCTCCAAACCCTGTTTACCGAGGATTATGCCAAACTTATTAAAACCAGCTCCAGCTCAACCTGGCAACCATAATGTCACTGGTCCACTAGGTGGCACTACTGAGTCAAGAAAAAAGGGAAGCATGGATGGTTCTGTATAGTTGCAGGTTGCTGTCATTCCCAGAAACCCTAAGGGAGGGAGAGTTGGTTTCTGGGCTGAGTCAGTCTGGAATCCGTCCCACCTCCTGCCCTGGCACAACAGGTTGAGGGCTTTATTCCTATGTTTCACAACAGTCAAGGACAAAGACTTCTAGATTCTTATGACTGTGAGGGAGACAATAGTCCAAAGTTTTCCTCCTCTCAGGTTCAGACTCACCAGTTGCTTCTTGGAAATCCTACACAGGGTTGCTATGAGTCAGAACTGTCTCAAGGGCACTTAACAACAACTAAGACTCAGAGAAAATAGCCCTGGTGTTACTATGGGTTAAGTGTTGGGCTATTAACTGCAAGGTCAGTAGTTCAAATCCAGCAGCTGCTCCACAGGAGATAACTGAGGCTGTCTCTACAGTCTCAGAAATTCTAAGGGACAATTCCACTCTGTCCTGTCGGGTCACTATGAGTCGGTATCATCTTGATGGCAGTGAGTTTTTGGTTTGGGGGTTCACAGACAGCATCCTGTGTTCACACTCAAAAAACACTGGCCCCAGGCATGGTGAAGATGATGAGATTCCAGCACATACCACTAAGTCTCATTTCAAAGCAGATCCGGAAGCAAGACTGCATAATTTCACAAACAGATTCATTGGTCAGGTGGGCACCCACTGGGGTCAGCAACAGAGTCCGCAGAACCTATCAGGAAGAAAGGGAGTCACCGATCAACAGGCAGGCTGGGTGAAGACGTGGGCCTGAAGGGAGCAAGGCTGCCACATGCCCTCCAGTCTCCTAGGGAAGCACTGAGGGTGAGGAGGGAGGCAAGTAGGAACACTGACCTTGCTTCATTTTGGTAAAGAGGTCTCTTGGGACCTGTGTTGGAAACTATTTTTTTTTTTTTTTTACTTCTTCCGGCCCTAATCCTGGAACTCAACAGATGGATGGAACTGATAGTCTGTTAGAGGTATAAGTGTATTAAGGGCTTCCAGTATTTAATATCAATTCATTTAAAGCTTTTAATTATTTTCCTGAGAAAAAGCTTTTACTTTGGGTACCCGAACTGCTTGTTTAGAAACAAAGTCGCTCTCTAAACCCCACTGGAGTCAAAACACAGCTTCATGCTGACGGCAGACTAGGGTGAGTTGAGCTGGTGGCACCAGCTCCTGGCCATTAGCCTAATTGCTCTCGCCCTTTGCTTACCTGAAGGATTTTCATCAGGACCACCTCATCACTGGCAGGGTCCGTGCCCACAAAACGGGCATGGGTGACAGCGTCTGCCATGTTCTCCATGCCCTCAGCTGTACCCTCATGAATGGGATCTACTCAAGTAAAAAAGAAAGACTTAGTGTGGAGAAGAGAGCAAGTAAAAAGGCAAGGCATACTGTCTAGGGGCTGCTTTAAGAGGCTTTGTTTTCCCCCTAATTCCCTTGAGCTCTTGAGAATTTTTGCCCTTAAGTAGCTTTACTGAGCTCTTCTGCACAGTGATTCTCAAACTTAGGCATCAAAATCACTTGGAATGCTTGTTCCAATATAAATTGTTACGCTTCATTTGCAAAGTTTTTGAATTAGGAGAATTCTGGATTTTGCATTTCTAACAAGATACCCAGTGAAAGGTAGAGTGTAGACATGTGCTAACTTGGGTGATGGGAAGGCAGTTAAAAAGAAAGGGGGAACAATCAAGGGAGAAGAGCAGAGAGTGGGACCCTACCAGAGAAGCAGTGATGCCTGAGATGGAGGCAGAGACAATGACATGGAGAGATGGAGCAGCTGGGGACTTTAGACCCAGAGAGGGAGAGGGTCTGTGTGCTGACGACTGAGGGGCAAGCTTGCAGGGTATATCCTTCGGTTGGCTGATACATGGAGGGGACTGTAACCATGGCAATGAAGTGCTGTACAATAGGATGAATGTAAAGCTAATGTTCTCCCAAGTAAACTTTCATATAATTCACAATAAAACATTAAAAAAAAAAAAAGTGGTAGTAAATGGCTTTCTATTTTTCATGTACTGGAAAGGAAACAATATGTATTTATTTTCTCATTAGGACAAACCGTTAGGAACTTTCCTGCAAATGATTAAAAGGAAAAGAAAAGGGGGCACAAAAAGGAGAGAGAAAAAATGATTTTGAAATGGATAATGATAATGGTTGTGCAACATGGGTATAGTCAATGTGGCTGGATTTGAACATGTAAAAAAGGTTGAAATGGCAAATATTCTGTTGCATACATACTATTAAACAAAAACATTCCAACAACAAAAAAGATCCCCAGTGAAGCTAACATGGCTGGTCAGGGGACCACACCTTAGGAATTACTGGGTACAGCTACTCATTTCTGGAAGGAAAAGCCTGGAAGTATGAGTTTTTGGCCCAGAGGAAGCACGGAGAGAGTATGGCCAGAGCTTTGAATGCCAAGATTACCGCCTTTCTCTTTTTGTCTTTCAACACAGCTTCTCTCCCTGGTTGCTTTTAGAATTTGTGCTCAGGTGCAACTAAGGTAAGAGAGCAGCCAGAGGAAATGGATAGCCACTGCTGCCAATACTCATAGCTGGTGCCACATTACAGAAGCTCAGAAAACTCTTCCTATTTTGGTTTCATTCTTCTTAGAACAATAAGGCACTGAGCAAGAATCCAGCTTAACTATACAGGCATTGGAGTTTTGGTGTGGCACTGTGGAATAATTCACTGGACCACAAGGCCAGTTTGAACTGCAAGGTCAGTGGTTCAAATTCAGAAACCCTACACAAGGTCACTATGAGTCAGAACCAACTTGACAGCACTTAACGACAACAAACAAGCATTGGTTGGGCAAAGAGGTAGAAGAGAGGGATAAAGCTTAGCTGTGAATAAAGAAAAAGGGATGAGCTAGGGGTCAGCTGACCAATGTTGGAAGCTAACACATATGTTGCCAAGCAGGGAAACTGCTCCCATTCATGTGTCAAACCAAGGAACCAAAGAAGTTGTCTTCATCAAGGCCTATGAGGTCTCTACAGAACTGTAGGTTATGGAACTCTTGCCCCCAGGTCTGCTCTGAAGGTCCCTTTTCACTGCCACTCAGTCCTGAAATGGGAGAAGTAAGAAACAAGACAGGGACATGATAGTTTCATGAGTGATGGAGAAAGTTGCTCCAGAGGTGGCATTGTACAGTACAGGAGCACCTCAAGTGATAGTAGTTCGAAGGAGAAATTCTTACCATTTTATCGTTCCTAGAACCTGAAGTTAATGGAGTTCCAATGCCTAAAGCTCAGGGATAGTCAAGGATTCTGAACACTATTTGTACAACAAGCCAGAAACCGTTCATTAGTTGTGAGTGGTTTTCTTCTCTTTGTCCTGGCTCTTTGTCCTACTTAGAGCATCCTTCTACTCAGCACCAGGAGTGGCTACTCTAGAGGTCCTGCAGAAGGAAACCAATTGCACTGAGAGTATAATAGAATAACTCAGCTCCTTCCAGTAACCCAGTGTTCTGTTTCTTCCAGTTAGTACAGAAAATCCTACACTCTCAAGGCCTTTCCTGAGTCCTTTTCATAGCTCTGCCTTATTCAGACCTCCAGGGTTCATGGGAAATCCAGGTTCTTTTCAGTGCTGTATGTCATTTCAGAGCTCACTGAATGGCAGCCTGATCATCCTTTCTTTCATTACTCTCCCCTGTGAAGGTCATTTAAGCTCTAACTGATCTCTTTATAGGTCTTATATCCTGAGCTTGAATGAAGTAGCAAAGTTAATTTTCTAAAAAGGCAGGTAGGAGTGACAGGTCTTTATGTTCCACTGGTGTATGAACCATAAGCAGGGCCTGCCAGCAAGCCTGGCAATCAATGGCACAAAACCTGGTCTGGTAGTTGTGTGGGGCCAGGCGAATCCCAGAAGCCTTGGGTCACAGGATTGGAAGATGGGGAGGGGCTGGTTCTTCTAAAAGGATAGCCTTAAACAAAGGATTGTTTGGTTTGGGTCCACTTAGACCTTGTCTTCCCCTAAGACCTCTTCCCTCAGAATGTCCTCTCCTGGCTACTCTAGAACAGACCACATGGAAATGTGCCAGTCTTATCTCCTTTGCCTTCTGGCTTTCATACCCTACTTCCTGCTCCTTTTCTCATGCCCACTGCAGTCACCACCTCCAGCATTCTACTTTCTCCCCACAGGAAACTCCAATGACCAGCTGGCCTGAGGTCTCCAATATCTACCCTGTCTGCCAAATCTAAGGAGGAAGAGAGTAACAGGGACAAGAGAGCAGAGGAAAAAGGCACAAAGGCAGCAGCTGCTAGTGGCTGTGACGAGAGATGACCTGCAGGTGGTGCTCAGGGCAAAGCTGGAACAAGCTGAGCCTGATTTTGCTTAGGAAAAATAGGACGCCAGAGCTAAGGTGCCTGGAGAGGCTGCTATACCTATTCAGAACCTAGCTGGCACCTAGGATCCTGCTCAGGATACTTGAACTACGTGAATTCAACTTCCTAGAGAATATTTTTAAAATTTCTAGCTCTGAACGTAAGGCTATTTTCCTTCCTGGGTAGCTACAACCTGAGCCTTATCATGTTTAGTTCCCCTTCTTAGAATCAAGGATAGCTGCCTGCTTTCCATTTCTTCCTCTTGCACATAGGTGGGCAATAAGGGAACAGGAAACGAGGGTCCTAAATGATTCCAACTAAAAAGGAATCCAAAAAAGACACCATAAACAAATTCAGAGAGAAATTAACAGACAAGGTGAAAATATTGGTAATAGAATAAAGATTGCTATCTCTAATAAACAATAAGAGAAATACACAACTCAATTAATGAAAAAAAAGATGGGGAGAGAAGAAATTCAAATGGCAAATGTTCACCTTCAGGGGGATAAAAACAACAATATACCAGTTTTCATCCACCAATTGGTATAAATAAAGACTAGTGATAACTTCAGTGGTGGTGATGGAATAAGGAAATGATGCTATCATAAATTTCTGGTGGAAGTGCAAAATGCTGTAACCTTGGGAGGGCAACCTGGTAGGACCAATGAAAATGTAGAATGCATGGAGCATTCAGTCCAGAAACCTCAAGTATAGGAATCTGTTCTACAAAATGAATATTAGTAAATAAGGACATATGCACTTCAACATTATTTATAATGGCTCCAAATAGAACATAAATATTAACCAATCAGAGAATGAATAATGGAGAGACTTGTGTTATATCTGTACTATGGAAATTATACAGCTATTAAAAAGAATAAATAATATTGATAAATGTAAGATGTACATCTAAACACTATCAAGTGAAAAAAATAATAGGTAGCATACAATTCTATTTTAATTTCTTTTTTCAAAGAAAGGGTATACTTGTATGCATATATTTATATATGAGGGGGCTTCAGAAAGTTCCTAGAAAATCCCATTATTTTTCAATTCCATTTTACCATGAAATTTCTGAAGCCCTTATGTACATGTAGAGTAAGAGTCATAGCAGGTTATTAACACTACGTCAGGGAGAGAAACAATAAGAAAGAGGCCATTAACTTTTTTTAGATGCCTCTTTATTATTTGTCTTCTTCTAATACACATGCACTATATTTGAAAAATAATATTTAAACCAAATCAACAAACTTTCAAGGACCTCACACCCTTAACTACTTTCCATCCCCCAATCTTCCTAAGCATGGTCAGAGGAATCAGCAGAGTCCCAGAGTCCCCACCCAATACAAACCTAGTCAATTAGTAGGGATGAATAGCCAGTTACAATCATATTTCACTTATACAAGAGAAAGAGATGGCTGGGAAAAAACTTCCCAGTGTCACTAGCTCATTGCCTAGGTCTTGGCCCTTCCTCTCCTCCCAGGAGAGGCAGGAAATAAATGCCGTGGTCATTCAAGTAAAGCTCAAGCACTTACCTATGAGCGCATAGGACAGGAACTTGTTGACAGAAGTGAGTGCCAGTCCAGTGATCGGGCCAGTGGTATCTTCAGAGCGAATCACTTCCAAGAATGGACGGAGAAATACATTGGGCTCAATCTCGGAGAGTTCTGCAAGAAAAGAAGATGACAAAAAATGAAACCAGAACAAAGGCATGTTTGTGCCATGAGGATACATGTTTCAATTACAGGATCAATCTTTCTCCCTCTGAATTACCTTAAATCAAGTTCCAGACAACGTATCCTTTTATCTGTGAAGTTTTTATATATGTAGCTTTAAAAGATAAAGCTTAAGAAACAAAACAAAACCTACACCCCATAATGCCATCATCATACTTATTTGTAACATCACCAAATACTGCTGGGTCAATTTTCCTTGTCCATTTAGGGAGAAAATGCTCAAATTCCTCTCCCTCCCCAGTGATACACATGAAACTTCATCTGCCCTGCTAGGTATCGCCAGTGTGGCTACAAAGATCTCAGGATGGGCTGCCATCTTTAAGTCTTTTGCTGTTATGGTCAAGGTTACTGCTTTTAGGGACAGAGCACAGCACATCCCTGGAGGTGAGGGAGAAGCCTTGTTGAAAAAATAAGTAGAAAAAGAACAAATGACTGGCTGTACAGCCCCTCATCCATGAAGTAGTTTGTAATCTGGGAAGATCCTAACCATTCTCCAAGCCCTCTTTACTGCCTAGACTCAAACAAGCAGAGGACTACCTGCCCTGAAAAGAGGTAATTAATAACACTTATTTTTCAGATAAGAAAAAATGAGGGTCAGATAAGACTGGCTAGTAAGAAAACAAGAGTTGCAATTTGAACCTAGACTGTATGTGACCCAGAATAGGGTTTCTGAGGAGCAGTTGGTAGGTTAAAACCACCAAATTTGTAGTTAGCAATTCAGTGCTTATCTTACAGCACCATACCAGGACTCCAGTAACTCTGCAGAACAGAGTCAAACTGGCCCTGATAGTTTCCAAGGTTATAAACCTCTATGGAAGCCGACTGCCACAGCTTCCTTCTGTGGAGCAGTTAGTGGGTTTAAACCATTGACTTATTGGTTAGTAGCCACTGCTTTAACCACCGGGCCATCAAGACTCACTCCTCCAGCTCCGGAAGTTGTTGTTAAATGCTGTAGAATCAGTTCTGACTCACAGCAACCCTGTAAAGGGTTCCAAGGAACAGCTGATCTTGTGGTTAGCAGTCCAGTGCCTACACTACAGTGCCACACAGGTCAGAAAGAGTTGTGGATGTGATCAAGCTGCCCACCTTTACAGACAAAAGGAAGCTAGGTTTCCCAAGCACTTTCATTTTCAGGCAAATGCAAGGAGCTTCCTATTCAATTCCTACCACCTCCCTCTCAGAGTAAACATTTCCTGAGCCCGGCTGCTCATCAGATTAATGCTTTAATTAATTGGCAGATTGGGTAGCATTTTCCAATCTTGTCTGTCTAGTGTTCACATCAGCTGTATAAAACCTGCTTCTCATCCCCCACTACCCCCACCTAGAGATGTACAATTTGCAGACAAAATCTGGAGAAAACCCTTTGTGTGGGGAGGGTGGAGCAGATGAAGGTTGAGCTGTAAGGAAAAGAAATATTTGGAAAAACCAAAAGATATGAAATACTTAAAAAATGTAAAGTTATCTAGTTTGGGTGGTTGCTTTAGGAATAAAACTGTACTAACAGGGTTGTGGAGTCCTGGTGTGGCGCTGTGGGTTACTGCAGCAGACGGTATTTGAACTGCAAGGTCGGCAGTTCAAGCTCACCAGCTGCTCCCTGGAAACCCTATAAAGGGTAGCTAAGTGTCGGAACCGACTCTACGGCACTTCACAACAATAACAGGGTTGTGGTATAGTGCTGTGGGATAAAGTACTGGACTACAAGGTTGGTTTGAACCACAAGGTCGGCAGTTCAAACTCACCAATGACTCCTTGGAAATCCTATATAGGGTTGCTGTGAGTCAGAACTGACTTGAAAGCACTTAACAACAGAATGTGCCATTTGGTCTGTCATTTAAAAAATGGTCATGCATAGAATATTTTGAGATGTAAACATCTAGGTGGAAAACAAAATCTTTGAGGGGTGGGACAAAGAACAGATTTTCTGAGTTTTCACCTAGTACCTAGTACATACAGTCATGTCTTCCTTCTTGGTGAAAGGTGTTACAGCCTCTTCTTTGTTTTGTTTTAATGATATATACATTCCAGCACTTCCATTCTTAACAGAAACTTACTGCTAGATAACTAGAAGGGCTGGACTTCCTCCATCCTTGAAAGGGAGCAGGAACTGATGGTACATATAATGTTAATTTCCCCCAAGAATTTGGTCTAGGTAGAAGTGGAGCTTTGCTCTCTAGGTTCAATTGTTGATTTCCAGGAGCATGCAGGTTTGGAGGTGGGAAGTGCTCCTAGCAGGGCATCACTAACAAGGGCATTTCTATTTTATGGGGTATGTCTCTGTAAACATGTAATTTAAAGACTGGAATTTCAATTTATAATCCTGATGAAATGTTCAGATGGGCCATCTAGCGCTTCAAATTATCTATTGGTAAAGATAATTTTTTGTTGTTGCTTATGTCAATCCATTGTAGACCCATACTTTTATAAAGTATATTAAAAATGCAAAAAGGAAATTTATAAAAGATACAATATACAACTAATTTTTATTATTAAATCAACATGCACAAAATTACCATCAGGTTGCTATAAAAATGTCTAAAGGCTTTCTCTTGATTTCTATATGCACTGCATTGTATATGGCAGCAGTCTGTGGACCCACACTGATTTGCAGATTATGCTTTGAGATTGTCTTTCTAGATAACATACTGGATCATGTCAATTCTGACACAGTGACTCTATATAGGACAGAGTCTCCTATATCCTCTGTAAGATTTTCAAGGCTGTGAATCTTTATAGTAGATGACCACATCTTTCTTTTGCAGAGCAGCTAGTGGGTTCGAATTGCCAATCTTTCAGTTAGTATCCCAACTCATAACCCACTGTACCAATAGGGCTCCTTTTTCTAGATAGTTCTCTAGTAAAAAAAAGTCCTAATTTTTGACTGACCATTCTAGGAATTCTCTAAGTCCTGGGATATCGTAACTAAAAAAATCCTTAAAAATAATTTACAGATGAGGCAGGTAACTAAAGTTTAGGGAGGCTAAGTAATTTGTACAATGCCACATAGCCAGTTAAGTGTTGAAACCAGACTAGAAGATATCAGGAAAAATCATGGGCTTTAGAGTAATGTTAAAATTCCAATTTGGTATGTGTGATCTTACTTACTTAACTTTTTTAAGCCTTTATTTTACTACCTGTAAAATAAGTATTGCACAATTACATTTAATTGAAAACTAAATAGCAGCTAACATTTATGGGTACGTATGTATGGTGTTGGAGGAGAATATTGAAAGTGCCATAGGCTGCCAAAAGAACCAACAGATCCATTTTGGAAGAAGTGCAGCCAGAGTGCTCCTTGGAAGCCAAGATGGCCAAACTTCGTCTCTCATACTTCAGACATATTGTCAGGAGGGAGCAGTCGCTGTAGAAGGGTATCATGTTTGGTTAAGTTGGAGGGTCAGAGAAAAAGAGGAAGACCCCAATGAGATGGATTGGCCAAGTGGCAGCATCAATGGTCTCAAGTGTGGCAACAGTAGTGAGGGGGGCTCAGGATCTGGCAGTATTTTGTTCTGCTGTGCATAAGGTCGCTGTGGGTTGGTACCGACTCTATGGAACCTAACAACAACAACAACAACAACATTTATGATGTAATTTCAGATATTTCAATTTCTGAGGACCTTAGCTTTTTCCAAGGTATGTGTTGTTGTTGTCAAGGGCCATCCAGTCAGTTGTGATTCATAGTGACCCTGTATAGATTTTCAAAGAGTAGCTGGTGAGTTTGAGCTGCCAACCTTGTGGTTTGCGTGTGTGTAATATCATCAGAGAAAAGAATAGGTCTTCCTTTTAAAATGAGTGACTGAAAAATACCAGCATCCATTTCGAAGAGATAATGATACTAATAATAACAGTGGGGAAAGCAACCATTTTGTGACTTTGTGCTCAATAATATGGTACCTTCCTTCCTTGCAATTAACCTTTCTTTTAAAATGAGTCTTAGAAAGAGTAGTTAAAATTATACAACTAGCAAATGGTTTAAGTGGGAATCTAATTCAGGTCCACTGCACTCCAAAAGCTGTATGTCTAGCCATTTAACACTTCCATTAAGTCAGGATAGAAAGGCTTCTGGTGTATTCCCTCCCAGCTTGGCCTGCCTGAGAACTGAGATTCAATCATCTGGATCTCCTTCAGAAGAGCTCCCTGAGCCCTCCAGGATAGAGGTGCCATGATGTTGCCCATTGTAGACAGGCTGAGTAATTTCACAACCAAAGAGACATCTGACACCCCAGCCAAGCAGCCAAAATTCCCGCCCTGGAAAGCTATCAACCTCAAAGCACAAACAGTCCAGTAAACAGAGAGTGCAGACCAGGTAGAGGGGTGCTCTGAAGGTGACTGGTTCATGTTCTAAGATAGGAAGAAGAAAGAAAAAAAAGGGTACAAGGAGAGGAAATCAAATCCATCTCCCCATTGGAGAAAGAACACTTGAGATCCTTCTAGGACCTGGTTACTTGCTTCTAAAATCAAATCCAGGTCTATCTCCTGGCTAGTCAGTGCGGAATAACAACAATTACAACGTGAACTGTTAAACTATATTTGGGGAAGTCCATGAGCCACTTCAACTAAAAGCCAAATGAAGTCCTTTGGAGGTGTTTTGGTGGTATCCAGTGAACAGGGAGTTAACTCCCTATATTAAAGCATAACACAGATGTCTCAGTTTGGCACAATATTAGTCTGAAAATATACATAAGTACCCCCTAAATCTCCTTACTTCTCAGATTTTGAGGTGACCTGTCCAAAAGAAGGATGGATTTGGATAGCTTTCTCTTTTCATGGTGGAGCTTCCACCATGAATGATAATTTCTCAATGTGTGGCCTCAATCCCTGCTAGCCTTCAGGATAAGAGCCACCACCCTTCCAGAAGGCTTGTTTTCTCCAACTCAGCAGCCTTTTCTCATTTGGCCAGCAGTGGACTGGCACATTCCTGAGCCAAAATGCAC